CTGGGACATGTGCAAACCTGAAAGGCATCAGATACCTAAAGCATGTGCTGAATCGGGCCAGACTTTTGGGTCAGTTGCTCACCCAATTTTCTCAATCTTCTCCTCACCTTACCTGATTCGAGTCTACCAACGTATGCCGCGATGTATGCCCGCACTACCAAGTATGAATGTACCTTACTTGATGAGGTGGTAGGTGACAGGTACAAACATCTCCCAGTTGTGAATCGTGTGAAAAACACGTGTGGTCACCCTTACCTCAGAGACTTCACCCTTTTGCATCCCGCCATCTTCCCGCTGCCGTAGAGGTCCCCTGACCCCAGTCTCAGTCATCGCATCATCCTCTCTGCGCACGAGGCAACACCTAATTACTCAACGCAGGGCAAAACAGACACTTCTGCTTTTGAATAAGGTTACCAGGTCACCACACAGTAAGTACGTATGGAAACAGATAGACAGTGGAGGTACCTTGTCAAACTTACAGCACCTCAATGTCCCGGGCTTGTCTGGCTGAGTTCATCTAGCGGCCCATTCTGGCTGAGAATGAGAACCTGAACTGCCCGATCTCATTACGGATACTCGCCTCATCCTCTACGCCATTCTCTCATGTTGTGAAGCGCGTCTCTTGCCTCCACCGGGCGCTTTCTCCGGAATCCTGACGGCCCCGGGTCTGCCGTTCAAGTAGTCCAAGACTCACCAAAGCCTGCGAACCGCTAGGTCTTGTTTCTGGTCTTAGGAACTTGGTCTTGTCTTGTCTGATTTGCTCTGGTCTGGTCTGGTGTAAAAAAAACAAAATGCTGGTCCTGGACCCGAGCAAGCCATGGCCCATCTGGCCCGGCGCCGTCCACGAACAAGGGTGACAGGGATCATTCGTCTCTTGTCATCCTCGTCGCCCACGTCACCTGCGCGCAACCACTTTCAGACCTTTCCTTTTTCCCTCTCGCCATTCTCTCTCTCTCTGAAGTCTGTCAAGGCCTCTCCCGTCCCCTCCCTTGTCGGCAAACCACGCCCCTCTCTCAAGGACCCAAGCAGCAAAATTCCGCCCACCCCGTCTGCAACCACCACACCCACTTGCTCCCCGCTTGGCCCGCAACCTACACACTGTTCCCACACACCCACGAGTCCACGACACCCCCCTCCCCTTCCCATCTCAAGTTCCCGCTGCATTTTGGGTGGTGAACCGTGAGTCTGCCGCTGCTACAAACCGTATGCCATCCGCTGTCGCTCCTGCGCTGCACCTTGCAAAAATCGCTGCTTCGCCCGGCCTTTCGCAAAGTGGAGGAGGCTGAGTTGACCCCAGTGGACCTGGACTGATCCTGTCTAACAAAGCCCAATTCGTCCCCCAATCTCTCATCTGCCTTTTATTTCTTGCTTCTTCAACTTCTTCCCATACCGGCGGGATCTAGTAAGAGCTGGAGTTTCTGGGTGTTTGTGAATGAGCAACACCGCAGAATACCTTGACGCATGTCGCTGCGTTCGTACCCCCGTCTTCATCCGCGAACGGGGACAGGAAGACATCACCAACACCCATAATAAGCCCACCACCGCCAATCTGGGCCACGAACACCATGCAACGAGTTTCGAGCTTTCTCCCATCCTGGGAAGCCAGGAGGCGGACCAGCAACGCCAGCACCACAAGTAATGGCCGAAGCAGTGTGGTCACCGCAAGCAGTATCAAATCTCCTCTCGACAAGGTCTTTCGCTGGTCCAGCAAGCCTCCTGCGCCGCTTACCACCAACGCCCTCGTCTCAGCGACAACGTCACGAATTGGTCGGGAGGCTTTCTGGCCCGCTACCCTCGATGCCGAATGCGAGCGCGCCGCTCGCATATTAAAGTCATTTTGTTGTGAGTATGCTTTGGCGAGATTCACGATATTGCTGAAGCTCGACCGCATCATGCCGCGATTCCTCACTAACACCAATGTGCTCGTTTAGCCGACGGATTCCTCGCACCTTTGGACGACCAGCCGAGTAGCGATCCCAACGCCGAACCAAAAACTCCAGCACGGATTTTCAAAAAGATCCCCTCCCGCATCCTACAAAATGCAGCAGGTATCGCCATTTTCACCTGCATGCGATCCGGCCTGTGGATGACCGGATCAGGCGGTTCAGGCATCCTTATTGCTCGAAAAGCTGACGGCACCTGGTCGCCACCTTCGGGCATCCTACTCCACACGCCTTCACTAAGCTTTATTATGGGCATTGACATTTACGACTGTGTCCTGGTAATCAACAACATTGCCGCCCTCGAATCATTAATAACTAAACCAACTCTGACTTTGGGAGAGGACATCGGCCTCACTTGTGGACCGCTGGTTCCACTGGAATCTACAGAGGTCGACAGCCGGTGGAAGGACCTCGACAACACCGTTCTGACATACATGAAGGCGAGAGGACAGACTCAGAACGTTAACTTGAATGGCTGCATCTTGACGGAACGAGCCAACGAAAATGAGAGATTCTACGGTGGCAACGTAACAGCGATGGACGTGGTTGCAGGCAATGTGTCGAGGCACGTGGAGGAGACACGCCCTCTGTTCGAAGTCATTAAGGAGGCGGAAGGAAGGATCGATGCCGACCAAGCCATCCTCAAGAAGCTTTCGGCACTGCCAGCACCAGGAGACGCCATGATAGAAACGCCTAGGAGCTCGCCAGCATCACCCAAGACTCCTTTCGGCATCCCCAACACTGAGGACCCTGACCCTTTCGGTGTCTTGGCTCTGGAGATGGCAGGACTAGAGATTCGAGAGGCTGGCACACGCCTCCGACCTACGAGCAACCAGTTCGAATTCCACCCTGTTCCCTCGAGCCCAGTATTCTCAAAGTTCAGGCAGAGCGGCGAGACTTTTACGACAAAGAGTAACCGAGGGAGCCTGATGTCTACCAAAACCAGCCGCACTAAGATGTCCGAGGCTTGGACACAATCAAACCAGACAGGAACGCCATTCACCTCACCTAGCCAGAGCCAGAGCCAGAGCGAAGATGGCGCTTCCATTAATAGCCTTCCCGTTCTGAAGGAGCCAGAGGAAGAGGAGGAGCCTGAGGAGGTTGACTACACCAAGATTGACTTGACTCCGTTGAGGCAAATTAGCGGAAGCCATTCGATTGAAGGAACCGTCATGACTGACAGCGATGACCACCTGCGCACTGATGTCAGCACTATGGATGACGCCGCTACCAAGGCTTCCAGCATCTACACAAAGGACGATGCTAGCATCATCTCCAGAAACGACGACGATAAGGAGGATATCCAGAAGGATGAGCCAGAGGTCGATGCTGATGATGAGGAGGATGAGGAAGAAGACGACGACTTCGAAGAGCCTGTTATCTTCGAGGTTGCAGCTGTTCAGCCTGCTGCAGTCGTCATGGCTGCCCCTATTCACGCCAAGGGCGCTTTGGTTACCATCCCCAAAAGAATCCCTCCTCCTCTGCCTGCCAGAAGCCCCATGAGAACCTCTCGGGCCAGCAAGAGCGACATCGGAGACGTCAGCCATCTTCACAGCCCCATGCAGGCCTCTTTCACCCTCTCGCCGAGACAATCCATCGATTCAGCCTCTATCCGAAGCGGTATGGACAATATTCCATCGATTCAAGAAACGGCCCCGGATGTTTTCGAGGATGAGAAGAAGACAACAGAGTCTGCATTGACTGAGAGGTCACAAACAGAGGATGTGTCATCCCTTCAAACCCCTACAATCCAGGAGCCTGAGCAGGCGACGCCCATGGCACCTGGAGCCTTCCCGGATGAGGAAGATTTCATGAACCCCTTGGGTACATCCCTGAGGGAAACTACAAGCTTTGAGTCGAGACACATCACTTCCCAGACAGTCAATGTCGCATGATACCATTCTTTTTTCTTTTTGTTTATTTCTAGTCATTTCAGCGACACAGGCGCCATGGCACCTTTTGGGGGTCCTTCAGGTGTCACATTCATCACTCAAGATGTGTACCAGGCGTTTGGGACATTTTGGGACTGGAATCCTCGGTTAAGGATACCACACAGTTTATAAATAACGACCAACTTTATGACAGGCAAAAGGCGTTTATGAGTGTACAGAACAAATAGGCCGGCAAAAGGAGGCACCAACAACACCATACCATGGGGAAGGCCAGCACAGGAGTGTACCTGAGGGTCAACGAGGTCAAGAGAATTGGAGACCGGATTGTGTGTAGATGTCGGGGCGATGCTTTACAGCAGACAAGTTGCTGTGAAGAATTCAATGGAGCTGGACTGCTATAGAAGGGGTGCCCCTGGTCACCTAGGACAGATAGCCTAGTCTTCGACTTATTGCCTAAAGATAATGATCAATCATTCAGACCAATCTGACTAGCCGTGATTCCAGATCTTGCACTCGCATTGTGAAGTCACATGTTTACACGCCTTGCGTACAAAGGTGAAGCCGTTCATGAAGGTGAAGTCGGCAGAGCTCGAGGCAAAGGGCCGGGTGCCTTTCTCTGCCTAGGTGGTCCGTTTGGGTGGTGGTTTGCTCCATGCCCTGTTTTGACCTCAATCCCTTCTTTTCCATTAACACTTTGAGATTTGCGGAATTATCATCAACCTCTTTCTCCTCACACACAAACATCACAACCCCAACATATCTCAAGATGAGAATCAACTCAGACACCAAAGTGGGATGTGCCTGCAATGGCTGCAGAGCTCGGAGAAACAATGATGCGATGTCTGTGGCTCGGACCATCCATGGTACCTTCCCAGCCAGTTCCAGTTTTGGCTGTGGCAGTGGCAGCGCAGGTGCCAACAGCAGCAGCAGCAGCAGCAGCAGCAGCAGAAGCAGCAACAGCGATAGCGACTCTGAGCACGTCGCCAATTCTTACGCGACTCGACTTCGTCCGCGCCCTCGCCAGCCCACGATTCCCATTACCCCCACGAAGACTCCGAGAAAAGGCGCTGCCAAAACCCCGCGCACGCCAGGAAATCCCGCGCACAACAACGACAACTTGACGGGCACTCTCAGCGGTGCTTAGAAAGCTTCGCGCGCCGGCAAAATGTCGACACAGACGGGCAAGTTCCGCGAGGACCAGGTCCTCATCATCTGTCCCGGCAGCAAGACCACCATGGCCCAGCTGGGATGCGGCGAGCTCACCCCGCCCGTCCATCGTATCCCGACACGCATGTTCAAGGACGCTGAGACGGACGAGTGGCGGCCCTTTCACACCTTTAAGCGCAAGAAGGCCAATGCCAATGTCGCGCTTGCCATCGATGGTCCGCGGACCGACGATGATGACTACGAGTGGGTTGAGGATACCGACTCGGACGAAGGAGCTGTCTACCCTATGCAAGGTGCGATTTTTCGGTTGCTGCTGCTCCTTTTCACGTTTGGGCTGCTAATTGATGTCTTATAACAGGCGGTCGCATTGTTAATATGGAGGCGTTCCTGGCGTTCCTTGACCATGTTCACAGCATGCTCACCACCACCTACCACAATACCCCAATCATGCTCATGGCCTCGCCTCAATGGTGCCGCCCCGACACCGAGACGATCGCGCGCTATATCTTCGAAAAGACTCGCACCCCTTCCCTCTGCATGATCCACAGCGGTATCGCTACCCAGTACGGCCTCAAGTGGCCCAGTCTCACTGTGGTGGATATTGGTTACGAAAAGGTCGACGTCACATGTATACACGACGGCCGCGTGGTCAACCATGGAGAGCTCGGTTCCCCGACCCCGGAGCGCTTCATCTCGGGCGGAGACATGTTCACGCGCAAGCTCCTTGAGAAGCTCAAGGATAAGGACTTCAAATACGACATGGCGGAGCAGCTGAAGAAGAGCCACATTTGCGAGGTGCTACCATATGCGCCAAACAGCTCTATTCTCATGGATCTCCCCACAGCTCAAACGGCAGGAGCTCCTGCCAGCGCACCTGTTGCCGAGGCGGCTCCCACTACCGCACCGACTGCGCAACCGATTGTTCCTGCCGCCGAGGAGATTGAGGAGAAGGCGGCCGAGGAGGGTGTTCTCGATGTGGCGTCCATTGTGACGAGCGGAAATGCACGTGAGTTCCTCGCCAAGAAGGAGAAGGAGAAACAAAAGGGTGGCAGAAAAGCCAAGGCTACTCAAGAAACCGAGGCTGCGAAGCCGGTTCGTCTGCCCAACTCCAAGAGAACTCACAACACCTTCCACTTCGAAGAGGTCGTCATGGAGGAGGTTCAGCCGCCCAAACCAGAGACCAAGGAAGAGTCCAAGAAAGAAGAGGCGGGTGGCGCGACTGAGTCCAAGGACGTTGAGATGACGGATGACACCAAGCCCGCCGATGCGACAGTTCCTGCTACCGCCGAGAGCGACGTCAAGCCCGTTGAGTCTTCGGCTCCGGCAGCGGCAACGGATGGTGCAGCTCCCGAGACGAATGGCACAAACGGCCATTCCGCTACGATCCCTGCAGAGGCCTCTCCCGCCACCAACGGTGCTCCTCAGATGCAGGCCAAGCGCATCCGCCGCGATATTGAGGTCGGTCTCGAGCGCTTCACTTTTGCTGACCGTGGCGAGATCGACCGCATTGTAACCACAATCTACCGCACTATTCAAGGCATCGACGACATGTACATGCGCCCTCCGTGCTGGGACAACCTTGTCTTCGTCGGCAATGGCGCTCGCCTCCGCGGTTTGAAGGACAACATTGTCCAGACCCTCTTGGCTCGCCACCTCATCTCTCCCAGCACGGCGACAATGTTCACCTCGGAGCTGCCGTCTAACATCGCGACTCCCACTGGCACCGGTGCGCAGACTCCTACGGGCTCTTTCACGGGCGCCCCACACCAGCTCCCTGCTAATGCCGCCGCCGGCTCCTCGGGCGTCAACCCCCTGCTTCAGGCCGCGACCACGGCTTCCGCTCAGCACCAGGGCACTCCGGGTCCCAGCGGTGATGCCGGTCCCAACGGCACTCACTCCGTTGCGGGCCATCACTTCCACAGCCAGACGCCCACGAGTATCAAGCTGGCGACGCTGCCCACCTACCTCAGCGAGTGGAACAAGAACGGCTTCGAGGAGGCCATGTTCCTGGGGGCGCAGGTTGCTGCGCGCATCGCTTTCTGCCAGCACAATCTCGATATGGCCGGTCTCGAGGCTCAGCGTCAAGCCAGCCTAAGCAGAGTCGACTACAAGTACGTTTCCTCTCCATTACCTTCACTATCCGTATCATTATAGCTTTGCTAACTTTTCCGTAGCGAGCTTGGCCCCAAGGGCATTCGCACCCACTCCATGCTCAAGTAGTTCCAAGATTTGGCCTGCGCGAACACGGCGACGACTGGTTTCTGGTTTCATCAAGTCCTTCAGGGGGGTTAGATTGCCCTTCCTGAACACTACGGCGGCAACAGCGCAGGCATGGGAATTATGTCAGGTTGTGACATTGACCGCCTCTCGGTCCATTGTTCACGTTTCTTTTTCTGTAGCAAGGCTGCACACATTGTGTTCTGGAGTTTTAGGGACATATCAAAAAACCTCGGGGTGTGAGGCGTGGAGGGATGCTTTTTATTGTGTTTTTCTTGCTTGATAATGAAGAAGGGGAACGAATACCAGCACAGAGAGTGAGGGAGAGAGAAGATAGCAGGGAGAGAGGACCTGACTGCGAGCGAGCCTGCGAAGATCCCTTTAGCCTTTCGTCTAGGATGTTTTCTCGTCTGTACTATGACGAGTTGGCAGCCCGGCCTGTACGATACTCTGGAAAGGATAGGTATAGAATCCTTCAGACTTTGCAATTGGTTTTGCAGTGGGCAAATTCTTCATTTGCGTGATGCTTGATTCTTGTTATCAGCTCCTGACCAAGAGGATCTGCGTATCTACAAGTAATTTCGATTCGTAGCTTTTACAAGACTCGTTGATGGGTCGAAGGCAGGGGACAAGCCGGAGAGACTTTGGTCAACGACGGGATTACACTATACAAATTTGTTTCGGAATTTTGTCTGCTGCGTGAACACACTTCGACGGTTCGAGCAGATGACGCTAGCCCATGACCGAATCCCGAGTGTCCGTGTTTGCCCCCGCCTCGTTGTGACGCCTTTCCTCGCGGCTCGGTTGAGGTTCTCTTGTCTAGTTTGGTGATATCTCGGCCTTTGTGTATTGGAGTAGGAAACCAACCCCCCCACCCCTCCACACCCACCCCTCGAGCTATCCTGAGTTCTCAGGGGGTGATGCATCCTTGTCTACTGGAACTTCGGAAGAGCGATAGAACTCACGCTCCTTTCTTTCCGGCGACTGAAGAAGAAAGGCCTTGGAGTGGTGGCGGTAATGGTGGAAGAGGGTTGTTTATGAGGACCAAAAGTCCCCCCCAAAAAGGGTTCACCAAGACGGAGAGGAAGATGGTTTGGCCTTGGGAGTGAAAACTCGTCTGAAGATTGTCTAGCAGTAAGAGCTCCCGTGTTGTAGGTTGGCGTTCGGTGGTCCTCTTTGTATAGCCGTCTGGGAATTTCCTCTCTTTGAATCACGTGTGTGTTGTGGGGGTAAAGGGAGAAGGGAATAGTTGAGGAGAAGCCAATGAGGGAGGTAATTTGTCCATATATTTTCTCCTCTGTTCTTTTCGTACGCATGAGTTAGTTGACGTCTCGTTCTGATTTCCTCACGGTGAAAGCTAGGTGTTTTGAAATTCGGAATTGGTGGTGACGACAAATACATGTACCGTTTCCGCCGAGGCTAACTTGCCAACTCTTGAATCCATCTCGTCGTGCCGATGAACGAAATTTCATGTGCAATTGAGACTTACCCAAGAGACTACGCTCAGAGGAAAATGACGCGGGAGTAGACTGACGCGCCAGTCTGTAGATGGCGTTCTTGATATGGAGAGCTCCAGGTTTTTTTTGTTTTTTTTTTTTTTTTTTTTTTTTTGGGGGGGGGGGGGTTCATTGGGCCTGATGAGGCCTCTGTTGCAGGGTTTGGTACAATTCAGGGCAAACTTCTATTTTGCTGAAGTGTGGTGGACGTGAATGCGAGGAAATTCACAGCAGAGCCCTTTCCTCTCTACTTTGTGATAGAAGCCCGGGTGGATATAGATATGCTCACCGACTAGTCGAGGGACCTGGGCCTCTGGGCAAGCAGCTTTCACTGGTCCAGGTTCAGGTTGAGTCTCTGAGCGGGTTGAGCGCGAGTTTAACACCTTTTCGTCTTGAGCAGGCCTTACGAGCATTTCCCCTCCCAGTGTCAAAATAGATTAGAGGTGCAGAAGAAACTCTATGACTGACAACGGCTCCTGTGTGCGAGGTGAGGATGATCTCAGGGGCTGTAAGGAGGAGAAGATGGAAATGAAGTGTACGAAACCAGTCACGTTAGGTGTATGCCGTGTTATTTGGGTAGAGTGTAAGCCCATGAATGAGAGAATGAAATTCCAGATTTGTTTGCACAGAGAATTTTCCTTCCGGGGTGGTTGTTGGTTCTCTGGGTAAAGCTACCGGCTGAGAAATCTACAAGCACGTCCGAAGTCGAGACAAGTACGACGAAATACAAAACAAAAGGGGAGACGATCAGGTGTTTGGGGGCTTTCTTTACATGCTAGGCGGCGGCGAGGATTGTGTCTGCTCATCTCTTAGGTCTTATGTGGGCTTTCCGGGGACTTCGTCATAGATAAATTGAAATATCTTAGATAGGTCACAGCCGGACTGTACCAAAGCTTCGATGGGCTTTTTGTATGTAATCTTGGGAAGGCCGTATCGGAATGTCGTACCATCAAAGACCCCATGCAGTTTAAGTAGTGTGCTCTCGTGGCGATGATAAGAGGCCTGCGAGACGAAACGATGACAGTGTTTTTTTGCATAGCTTGGACATACTCCCTTTCAAGACAGGCAACTAGTACTTGTACACACGTCATGCGGTGTCCGATCTCCACAAAGTGATGCCGTCGATATGCACTTACCAGTATGTAGGGCCGAGGTATCAACCAAGTCGTTGACTGGCGAAAATGAAGGAGTTCTGAACCCAATTTCGAGATCTCTTCTTGACTTCTTTCCTGCCTCCTTATGTATTCGAGGTATGATATTAACATTACTATTGTCTGGAATATCAACGTATGCGAGACCGCTCTAGGCCATTGGAACACAATCAAAATTGAGCCAGGAACGACTTTGCAGAAGAGGCAGCGCCAAAGATTGCCAGTAGACTGGAAACCAACCCTGAAGGAGGCAAGATTATTACTGTATGAACCTTCGTTGTCGTCCCATCGTGTGACACGAGCAATCTATGAGGTTTGTGACCAGCTCACTCTCTTATTCAATGTGGCCGGTCACGTGGGTCTTTGAGACTGCGATAGGGGAGGCTAGGTGGAATGATGTATGGGATGGACTCAACCATCGCTTCTTTGCGGCAACAAAGTCCGCAACGATACTACCCTCATTACTGGCACTCTTCGTAGGTCCCAGGAACAGCGTCTAAGAAGCCAAATTCTCACATTATGAAGCTCTGCTTGACCAACACTCCTCGTGTCCACGTTGCCCGGCCATTCACTTCTGTCCCGCCTACGTGCCTGCGACTACCTTTGACGTTGACCTCACGGAGAGCTCGGAAGCTGAGATGTCACTTGTACTCATCCTTGCGGCATTGCGTATGAGGAGAGCTGCTGGACCAAGCCGTTGTCACAACTGCTCTTACTCCATCGTCACCTCCGTCCCCCCCTCTCGGACATGGTTTCATCTTTCACACACCGAAGAGATGGACTGAATATCCTAGTGACCTTATATCTAGCTCAATATAAAACAAAGACGGCTCGTTGGGGCAGACTCAGCTTTTCCTAGTTATTCCCATGTTAGCTCTTCGGGCTTTACAGCCTTCGTGGCTGCTTCAGTTGGGATAATGTAGCACTCCCAAACGTGACTGTGGAAACCACAAGTGACTCATCACGGGATCAGCAACAAAACAACCACATACGTGTCTTTGGAAGTCATCATCAAAGATTGAAGTCAAACTTTCCACATCACGGGGTTCCATCGTCTCCGTCTTCTCACACTGGAAATGCCTCTACTTGTACGTGGTTAATTGAATATCATAATATGCGTCAGGCAAAGAGCCTTGGGTAACTGTCAACCGAGAAGAACATGCCTTCAGCGCAGTAGTCTATTAATTTGTCAGTTGGGTGGCCTATCTCATACTCGACGTCTCGGCACCGTAGCCTTGTCTAGAGTCATTGCCGCAAAGTATTTCAAGACCAATCCTCCAGGAATATCTGCAGAAACCAGCATGGATCGCGCCATGAAGGAAAGTGATTCGATTCCACAAAGCAAAAGAACAGCCATCTACGCCGTAGTTCTAGCAAGATCCAACTTGAGATTCGATGAAGACATGGAATCGTAATGAAGCCGGAGCAGCCGCTATGATGACTCTGACGCGTCTTGGATACGTTGAGCGCCACCGGAGAGGGCAACCTGATGTTCTTCTTCGTCAAACACTTGTGGGACTAAAGAGATAGAGCCAAATAGATCCACGCTACCAAGAGGTCTGGCCCGTTATGCTCTTCACCAGAGTTCTCATAGTTCAACACTCAGGCCGTTTTCACGGGCCCACGTCTGCCGCTCTAGTCTAAGCAAAGAAGCAACGACGTGCGGTTCGAGTAGAGAGATACTAGAACCCAGTCAGAGCAAGCAGTTGCAGCGTTGTCTTTTCATTCAGTCCTACATGAGGGACATCCCGAGTTTCGCTCAAGCTGCACCGACCATGATCACAGCCTCGTGATCTTCCCACACGCAACTTTCAACTTCATGTGGTTTAACTGGGACCTCAAGCCAAGACCAAAACGCACATCCTCCACGATATCCATCAAATCACCCATGACTTAAAACCAAGCAGATCTCCATCAGAAAAGTCCACATCCCCTCCCGTCCCTCCACGGTCCACTCCGTTCACCACCAGAGAATCCTCCCGTGCCGGCGGCGCGCCCACCTTCGAGTCCACAAACACAAAGCCCACAAAGATCAACCCACCTCCGCGAAGGGGACCACACAAATCTAGATCCCGCAACAGATCTATCACGTTCCAATAACGAACGGCCGGTTGGCCCAATGGCAAGGCGTCTGACTACGACCCTTTCTACTAAATCGTGCGGCTCTCGCTGGACGAGTACATGTGGGAGATGATAGGTATCAGGAGATTCTGGGTTCGACCCCCAGGCTGGTCAATGATCTTTTGCTATAAAACCTACTTTTATATTCGGGACATACATATGTACTTCTTCACTTTTTACTTTCAACATTGATATAAAACAACGAAGAAGGTGTTTATGTCTCCGTTAACCAGTC